AAATTATTCCACCATGAGCGTCCTTCCAAATCCGTGATCTTCTCCCTTAGTAATTTCTGGTCATTTAGCAGCTGGACAATAGCATCTCTCTTTCTCTGCTATGCTCTTCTCCATTTCTCTAAGGCGCTTACTCATCTTCTCGATCTTGTTGATAGCGGTGCCTACTTTAATTTCTTTAATTTCCTCCTTAAAACTCATTTACACTTGCGCTGCTAACTCCTTCTTTATTTCTGATTTGAGGTCCCGCATACCCTCCGCCATTACTTCACCCACCACCTTTCTCAGTGAGCTAATTGTAGCAGGCAAGGCCTCATTCGCCATCTTCTCTCCTTCCTTGATCGGGTGTGTTCCGCAAACTTTGCTTTCATTGTTGGGATCCTGAGGTTTGTCAGCTTTTCTCCACTAGAGGGAGCCTGAGACCTTCATCCTGAGGGCGTGAGTCGGCGTCTGCACACACCTGTCCTCCATCTACTCATTTGGAGGCGTATAAGTGGAGGAGGATGCTGACATTTCTCTGCCAGAGTGTTAGCCAGTAACGGTACCGGCTTACCTTGAGCTACTTCTACCTGGATTTGATCCCCAGATTCTGACTCTTCTTGTCTCTGTGTTCCCAGCTACCCTGGTCCGGAGCTATCAGGTCATCAATCACCCTCGAGACGGAACCCTCACCGCCTTGAGCCTTACCTGTCCGTCCTCTGCCGCCGCCTCTGATCTCAACCCTCAACCCGCTGACCAGCCTCTAGACCCTCAAGGTCCTCTCCCAGTCCAACACTCCCCCTGAACAGGTATATCTCCAACCTCCGCCAAACAGCAAATTTCCTGGGTCCTGACTAATCATCTCTGTCCTCCCCTAGTTGCCCTGAGATCTGCCAGATGAACCAAGGATCCTAATTCTCATTGTCTGAATTCACTGTAAATAAATCACACTATTGTATTTCCTGTCTCTGGAGTGTTTCTGCATGTGGGTTAGAAAACTCGACACCAACATGACATTCGTGTCGCATTTCTGAGTTCCGAGACTGGACTCGACCCTTCTTATTTTCATCCTCACTCATTCTTCTTGAAAAAAATAAACTTTTAACTCGTTAACACCTTGAATTAGGGGGTGCTTTTATATCTAGCGATGCAGGTCCTCTTTTCTATGCTGCCATACTAATCGCCATGACACTGGAAGTCCCAAATGCTTCCTTCTTGATTGGGATCTGCTCAATCCACTGATGTAAAACTGACTTCACTTTGTAGTAATGCTGGTGTTACAACAGTTTTCAGTTCATTGCATTTGTTATCACTGATGGTTCCTGAGTTCCATCCAAACAGTGATTGCAGACACAACAAAAATTGCTTCTGACCAAATAAGACTTCTGAAATAACTTATCTTGATGTCAATGCCATAAAAATTGACTACTCACTATGAAGAAACAGCATGTCTGACAGGAAAGCACTTGAGAAAACTATCAATTCAACCTAAAAGAGTCAACAAATATCTTGGTTGACTCTGGTCTTGCTAAATGATAACCACATAGTAGTTTTTGAAATTCATAAAAAAATGTATGTTGTATGATAAATTCACCCTGAAAACACAATGTTTTTCACCCATTATTCAAGGCACAAAATTAAGGAAATATCCATACTTTTGATGAATGTGTGTAAACTTTTCACCTGAACTGAATGTGACAAAGAGTAGTGGATATTTTATTGCAGATAAAGGTGTATTGTTAGGCTTGTGTCTTATCTGTGAGGTCTCTCCAGCATTAGAAATATGATGAAACTACTGACACCTTGCTAAAACTTTGCTGAAAGCAGCAGAGGTGTTCTGAAAAAGTCTGTTTTGTGCACTACTGATTTTCTTTGCTGAAAGAACAGAAACAATGATTCTCTTACTGAATGATTTGTCTGCAGACTAACCTCTGCATTCAAGTTGTCAGCTAGGCTGCCCAGGAACTGACTCTCGATGGGATTTTGCTGGGTGAGCAGGGTGAGGTAATGACTCAGCTTGTCATGGGTGGTGATGATGGTGCCCTCTCCGTACTTGTCAAACTGAGGTCGACCCGCTCGGCCAAAAATCTGCATGACGTCCAAAATTCCCAGGTCCACAAAGGCACCACGCTTTGCATCGTAGATTTGAGTTCCCTGTTAGACACAGAGCAGTGAAGTTGTCCTAAAATGTATAAATTAACCTGAGACTAGACTAGATTTACACATTAAATCTATGGAGCTAGTTTAAGTCCTTTAATTATTTAGCTCGCTCACTGTACAATTTAATTTATTATTTCTGTACAGAAATGTAATTCATGAGGAATAAAAAAAAGCAGCTTAGGGTATTTGGTAGCCTAAAATTCCAGTTTCATTCAGGCTAGTTCTGAGGGTATACAGCATAGAATTATCTTGACAGATCAGTGACAAAAAAATAAATAAAAATAAAGAACCTTAATGATAACTGCATGGGCTGGCAGGTTCACTCCCCAGGCTAAAGTGGCAGTGCAGACCAGAACTTTCAGGTGGCCTTTAGAGAACGAGTTCTCCATGAGGCTACGGTCAGACCGCAGCATGCCAGCATGGTGGATCCCAAAGCCTTCTGGGAACATTTCCTTCATCTGCTTGTTTCTGGAGTGTTGGATCTAGAACACATAATAAGATCACAGAATAAGATCAGAAAAAAACAGCAGGGAGAATACGCAAAGAAATCAGGGTGTCAACAAATCTATATCTAAACTTAAAAGACAGCAGAAAAACAGTTTTATTACACTGAGAGTTTTGGTAAATGGCCTGTACTTAGGCCCCGTTAACACGACAACGACTTTGGTTGAAAACGGAAGAGTTTTGTTGCGTTTGTACTGTACATTTACACAAAACCGCCAAATGTTTTCTCTGACAACTGTACAGATTGAAAACGGGTTCCAGAGTGCGATGTTTCTGAAACGTACCGATGTCTGTTGTGTAAACAGAGAAAATGGATCTTTTTTTTTCAAGAATCCCCAGCTCATGCATAGTATGACGCAAAACATAGCTGCTTCCTACAATTCACAGAAGAAGAAGAAACTACTCACAATGCTGGTGTTACTACACAGGGGCGCTGCCAGAAATCTTGGGCGCCCTGACAAAAAATGTGTTTGCCCCCCCGCCACCCCACCCCCCTCGCTATTACAATTTGGAGTCAATTTGACCCATAAAAAGCGTCACAATTTAAAGGCTTGCATCTGCCTTGCTTTCTTTGGTTCAATACTGATAATTAGC